ATCCTGTCATATTTTTAACAAAGCTTTTAGCTCAAGTACAAGTAAACATTCTGCAAAGAGCTTCGAGGGTGAAAAGCTCAATAGGACATTTATTATTCCTAACAGGGTTTCTGTTTCATTCAGGCATATATCTTTCATAAGAAGCTGAGTCTCTGTTTTGCTGACATAATCCAGAAAGTACACCCTGAGACATGTTAATACCAATGTGTCTCCGCATCTCAACAAGTGTGAACACTTTGCCACCAGAAGCAACTGTGCTGACAATGGGATGACACTGTAAAATGGTTGTATGCCGTGACATGAATCCTTTCAAGCCCAATGACTCTTGATTTCTAGCCTCATAATCACTATGAATCAAACTTATTCGTTCCCACTACCCCCATATTCAACCTGTGTCTGAGTAGCTGAGGAAAACGTATCCTACCTCACTTCCGGGTGGCTGCTATTCCAGCCTGCATGAGGGTGTTCAACTGTGGCTTTTTAGTCTTTAGTCAGGCTTCCCTGAACATACCTTTGTATGGAGATTTAGAGGTGTCAGTATAGTAAAAAAGGCTCCACCACTGCTGCAGTTTCTCAGTAACTAAAGCCTGGCAGCAATGGATAATTCTCTGATTATAATTATCCAAATGATTTAATAGGCAAGATATTAAAAAAAAAGCTTTAAATTCTGCATCATTGCAACTGATGACAATCAATATCACACCAAATTTCCCATATTCTTCTTTACTCCTTTTATGATAAAAAGTGAACTAAATCTAGATCTGCTGCAGTGCATATACTGACTTTAAAAAAGAACCACTAACATTAATTTGGTCCCTAAATGCAATTAGCTCATATTTGGAGGCAGTAGAGTATTCTTTCCTGAAAGTGTGAGTAATCATTTCTGCTAAATGTGTGCAAGAGGGGATATGTTCCCTGGTGGAGGCTGTGGCATACAGATCCCATGACGGTTCTGTTGTGGGTGCCAATACTGTTCAAAAGAGGACAGCAATCTTCTGAAACTTGTGTGAGGACAAGACAAGTAGATACAGAGGCAAATAATCAAAGCAATCAAACAGTTCTCCCTGAACAGTTGTCAAGACCACCAATATATACGTCCTGTGCCATGGATTTGTGGTGGTGCGCATGATATGCATGCACCATAGCAACTAGATATTAATCATCAACACATACAGGCCCATGTTGGGGTAAGTCTTTAGAGGTGCAAGTTGTAGGCTGCATCTGGTATACAAAACATGCCTCAACGGTACCAGTTTCAGTATTACCTCCAGCAGCACTGCATAGTTGAATTCATTACAGTTGGGCTTACATCTTCCTCAGAAGGATCTGAATGTTAGGCCCAGCATAAAAATGCCTGGGCATAAAGAACAACTCCTCTTCTAGTTCTGTGCCCCTCTTTATTTGTAGTTTTCAGCTAAACACCCTGGGCAACTTCTTTGCTGGTGAAACACCAGTGACTGAAGTGGCACTTTGCCAGGCCAGCATTTGGCACTGCATCCTCAGAGTGATGGCAGAGATTTTCAGAAGAGCTCAATAAAGAAGGTTAGGCATCCAATTCCTCTTATGCTTGGACACTAGCCTCTTGTCAGCTCATCAGGATTTCTGCAATGCCACTGATGACCAAGGCAGGCTTTTCCCATTTGCCAGCAACGTGGAAAAAGTTAGCAGGCAATTTAGTGCCACAAAAGTCTCTGTTTCAGCAATTTGCTTTATTTACATAGATTTTAATTTGAAGATGACATACCAGTAAAGTGCACCTATACCAACTGGTGTACCAAGAAGAGTTCGGCACACATTTTCAATGGTGAAGGTGATTCAGCACTGGAACAGACATGTATTCTCTCTCTTGCTGGTGTCTTTAAACTGAGGCTGGATGTCCTCTAGCCACCTGGATGGTGCTTTTTGACGCTTCTGGGCTCAGAACGGCTCAGTGAAATGTAATGATTGTGATATATAGACCAGGCTATGGAGTTTCTTCTGGCCTGATTATTGCACGAGGAAGTTACTATCTGCAAAGGAAATGCGTGTCCCTATAGAGGAACACCATGCCATGGGAATGTTGGTCAAAGCTGGAAGTACATGCTGCAAGGTTATCAACAGTTATTGATCATAAGGGGCTCAAAGGGTTCAGTTACTGGGAATTTCTGACCCTCTCTGGAATCTTTACTTGATCTTTAGATGCTACTGGTGTCAGGGTTTCACAGGCATTGGAGGGTAGGCTTTCAGTGTTCTTTGTTAGGAAATAAGAAAACAATATTTTTTTTCATGGTGATAACAAGCATTTATATAGCAGAGGGATCCTGGTATCTGTGGGGTTTTCTGTGGAAAATACACCAAAGATAATCATATTTAAAGTGCAAGTGATAAAAAACACATGAAGGCATCACACAAAATAGGTCAGATGCAAAAAAACTCCCTATGAAATTGGAGAGGGAATGTAGGCAAGTGGGGTGTTGTTATCTGAGCTGGAATTTAATCAAGATTCAATTAAGAGGTGATGTGGTACTTCAGTGGTGGGATCACCGCCTCAACAAAGCTCTGCTAGATTCTGCCTGTCTTTTCACAGATGTCAGGTGTGCACTGGTATAACTTGTCCAACCTCAACAGAGCTGATCCTGATGTACACAAGGACACTCATATTCAGATTTTCCGGCTCTCCCCCTCCTCTTCCCCTCAAGGTCTCTCTGCTCATGTCATGTGGAATGGCAGAAGTTCAGGTGTGGATCAGAGAAACTTTGAAATGGAAAATCAGAGAATACCGCAGGTCATATTGAAGAAGAGCTGGCAAAGCTTAGGACTGGGATAGCAGAGTGGTGAGGGTTAGGATGAAGGTACATTGGTAGGCTTGTATGGGGTGCTGCGTTTGGAGCTCCAGAGAGATCTGCAAGCCAAGAATAATGAATACTGGCAGAGCTCCGTGTGAGTAACAAACGGCTTATCCTGCCTAGGCAAATGACAAAATGTTACGTACTGGCATTTTTTAAATGGATTTTTTTTTTTTTTTAAGAAAAGAAAGATTAAAGCAACCGCTACAGCCAAACACGCTGCTTTGCTCTGATAAGATGCCAGAATTGTATGACTTCTACTTTGTAACAAGGTTCTTCATGTGGGTGTAGCAGCCCCTCCTCATACCTAGCGGATACACTCTAGGGAATTTTTACAACAGTGAGTATTGCCTCTTGTAAGGTCACTGAGTAAGAAAGTTAACAATGTTCTATGAAGAACTGCAGAAGAATTGAAGAAGTGTTTCCATCAGAGCACCACAGAACAGTCTGATGAAAAGGTTATTGTCACTGTTACGTGCACAGCAATGACCTCCCACGCATACTGTTCTATAAAATGTTGGGCCTCTGCCCTGCCATGCCCTCCATCAAAGTCATGCCCGTAACTTAAAAATGGAGGACTTGATGTAAATTCAAGTCTGTCCAGTTCACAGAACACCTCTGTCTCTCAGCAGGTAGACAGAGGCTTGGCACTGCCTCCATTGCTCAGGGTCTACATCTTGCTGCTGTTGCGCTGTCATGGTACTGCTCTCTCTTTAGCTCCTGATGAGAAAAACGTGTTCAGAGGCTGGGCCCTGTTGGTGATGCATCTTCATTTTCTTCCTGTTCCACATTTGGAGCCTTATTGTGTGATGCAACACTCACTTTCTTCTCAAGCCTCTCATTGTCAAGTGCCTGGTTATGCTCATACATACTGGGACCTACATGCAGCCTAGGAGGTGCCAGACTTGATCTTGGGATGGTTTTCCAGGTGCAAGGTACGTATTACCAAAGACCCCAAGCACATCACCTCCACAACAAAGTCTCTAGGCTTTACTAGGTGACATGGAGCAATTGGCTCTGCAGTTGGGAAAGCAGGACAACATCTTCAGGGACGGGTAGTCTCTGCGCTTGTGGGTTAGCCACGCTTTGAGCCCCGGCAAAGGGTGACAAGAGGACGTACACTGTCTGAGACACGACTTGTTTCTACAGCAGCCTTGGCCCAAGAGTGCCGAACCGAGGGAAAACGGTACATAGACCGTGAGGTAATTTCCTACGCCAAATTTACTTGCTCGTTGGCCTGACCCGGCCGCAGGGCTTCGCAGTGAGTGCCAATGCCAGCGCCAGGCCGGGGACGCCCAGCAGGGCAGTGGGGCGGGCCCCCGGCGAGTGCCAGCCGCACTGGCGGGTCGTCTCCCGCAGCCCCACCGGGGCTCCTTGGCACCGGCGCACCCCGTCAGCCGGTGAGGGACCGGAGCCGCGGACGTTCCAGGTACCGCAGACACGGGGAAAGAGTCCTCCCCTCTTCGGACAGCCAGCGGCACCGCGCCGCCCAGGGCCAACCTGCGCCGCCTGCCTCACGCCCGGGAGCGCTGGCAGGGCGGGGCGGGGCGAATAGCCCTGCCTCCCCACCATTGGCTGCGGCCAGCGGCAGCCGCACTGAGATAGGTCCGCTCCTCAGTCAGTGGCTCCTGGCCCCGCCCCGCCGCGGCTTTATAACGGGCATCCCCATGGCCGAGGCGGGGAACCTGCCGTGGCTGGAGAGGGCAGAGCCGCCCGAGCTGGTCCGGGGCACCGCGCGCGAAGCCAGCCGACGGACACGCCGCTGCCGGCCCGAGGGGAGGCTGCCCGGGAGAGCCGTCTGCGGTGGTCGCAGAGCCCTGCCGCTGTCCCTCTGCTACCCCGCCGCTGCCGCCCCGAGGAACGATGGTGTCGCGGGCCTGGCGCTGCGCTGGGGCTCGCCCTTTCCTGCTGGCGCTGCTGCTGGTGCATCTGCCTCAGGGTCGCGGCCACCGAGCCACTGGGCCTCGGGTAAGTGAGGGCGGCGGGGCTGCCCCGCCGCGGCAGGTTGTCCTGCGGCCGCCCCGCGCCCTGTCAGCGCCGCAGGTGAAGCCCCGGGTGCGCCCCGGACTGGCTTCCGTGGACGCGGACCCTTGCAGGGGCCTCCCCGCTCGGTCTTAGCCGGGTGGCAGCGGACTGCACGAAGGGTTTGCACCGTAGCGACTCGTTGGTATTTATTGCAGGGGTAAAAAAGGAGGGTGAGGGCTTAGCAGGCTGTGTTTTTATGTAGCTGGTCTTGCATTTGATGTAGCCCCTGTTCCCAGCGCATAGCTTTAGGACTTTTTTTTTATGTTCTCAAGTAGGGATTAAATGAGTCCTAGCAATAAAGCTAGATGCCTTCAGCCCAGACTTCTCCCCGTAGGAGTCTAGCTCTACTTTTTTAATCTGACAGTGTTTGACTTACTGGGGCTGTTAATTTCACTTACCCAACTATTACATTGCTCTGGGGGAGAACCCAACATCTTTTCTAAATATGGTCCTCCCAGTGAGCTAATGTTACCGCTGCAGCACCATGACAGAGGAGCACAAGAGCTTTCAATTATAAAGCTGCAAAACAGTAGCTGTTCTTCAGCCAATGCTGCAATAAAAGTACAGCTCTGGGTAAGTGGAAAAACTTGAGCTCTCTGCAGGCGTGTTGGATGCATTGACCATGTGCATTCTTAACCCATCAGTCTGAAATACCATGAAATGTACCTAATTAACTTACACCATGGTTGGGCAAGACCAGGAGTCTTTGGAGTCCCTACTCAGCCGAAGTATAACAATAAGGGACTTCAGTGCAATGTTACAGTTCTTTAATAGAAGTGCTGTTTGACCATGCTGGTCATTAAATGCTTCTCAGAGCCATGGAAAGTGTACTGGCTGCACTGGTGTCCCTGTGTTCAGCTGTGCTGTGTAGCCTCTTTTATAGACAGATGTGTAACAGCAACTGTTAGATGTGGCAGATCAGAACTAGTGTGTGCCATAAATTCTTAGAGACGTGTTGTAAAAGATGGGGAAACATAGGGGTGCTTAGGCATGCATCTACATTATCCGATATCAAACATAAACCTCCAAGCTGGAGTGATGCCAGATAGAGAGGAGCTTTGAGGTGATAAGAGTCTGGCTGTATGACTATGGCCCCTCACCAGCACTGGCATCCAAGTGCTTTAATGAAGAGCAACTGAAACAAAGAACAAAATAAAAAAATCCTGATGGCAGTGCATAATTGCACAATAAGCCTGTCTATCAAACAGTTTCCATGTATGCTGTTTTTATATACTGTACTTTACAAGGCAGTTTAATTGCTCCCTGTGCTGTGTCATCTTTGGAATGAGAGCTACTTCAGGAGAGTGGAAAACCAAATACAAAGGACTACTGATGTACTTTTTGCTTGAAGTAAGTGCACTGACTTTGCTGTTACTCCCTTCCTAACTGGGGGAGAATATCAGCTGTGAGCATGAATGCCTACAGTTATGTAGAAGGATGTGCCTTAAAGTTTTAGCTTCTTAAAGTTTTAACTTAAGAGCTCTTAAATGGAAAGCTGTGAACTTCCACGATGTTTAACTCGTGAAGCCTGTCTTCTCTCCCTTCTAAGTGTCATTCTTAAGTGCATGTGAAGGTGGGGAGTATGGTTTACTCATTTGCAACCATGTTGACTGGTATGATAAGCCCCTAAGTTTAATCTGTTCTAGTGACTGGACATTGCCAGTAAAGTTATTGCTAGTATAAAGGTGCCATACTTTAGTTTCCAGTGTACACGTTCTTTATTATTCAGTTTTTAATGACTATTACCAAGTTACACCAGTGTTTCTCATGCTGACCTGTGATCCAGAATCAATTCCTGTCAGGAACCTTCCCTGGATTGAAGGGGGGGTGGTTGTCAGTGTTGGGGTTCTGGGGTCTGATCCTCTGGGTTTTCAATTGCTGTTTATGATGTTTACGGTTTCAGACTTTTCCTCATGGTAAGTACTAGAACTACAATTTCTCCAAGCTGAAATGGTTTCAAAGGTGAACAGCAGTGTTTTATCCTACTCAGTGAGTTTAAATGAGCATCAACAACACTTAAAGCAGCTTCTTGGTCTTTCCCCTGGAAATTTCCCTCTTACTACTGCAGTACTGCTGATAAGCTAGGGAGCCAGTGCTGTCACTGAATGCGTAGGCAGGGGAGTATGGCTTGCTACTGTTTGCAAAAAAAGATGAAAAATTAGGGGTATTGAAGAGAAATAAGTATCTAGATCTCCTGTGTCAACAAGGGATCAAACTTTTGGATAAAGTGAGCTAGCTCAAGGTGATTACTTAAATACTGAGGTAGCTTACAAGTGCAGTAGTATCTACTGGCCTGCTGGGGTACTTCAGCCACTCAAAAGGTGTGCAAGCTTGTTTCCTGTTACAGTAAACCTACGAGCAGTGACATGAATCCCTTAGACTTGGAAGCATGAGTGGCCTGTAGGAAACATCTGGCTTTTGTACCTATGCTATGGCCCTCTGACAGTTAATAACAGCTGTCCTAAGTAAAGCCCCATGGTAAGTCTAATATCATGGATGTCCTAGAAGTAACTTGGAAGCCCAGGGCTGTTTTGTGACTCCTTTTCTCACTTGACATGCTCTAGAAAAGCTTCTGCTATGTTTTGCAGTTGCTAGGCCATTTCTACTGTTGTAGTTCTAAAGAGCACTGTGGAAGCGATCAATTGGCTATACCTGGAAAATGTCTGTCTGAAGGATGTGGCCTTCTGGAAAGAGATAATCAGGCTTTGCTTTCTATTCATTTGCGTGCCTCTGCTGGCATGAAATCTGGAGTTGTGTGACAAGCCAGGTCTTGCTGTTTCCCCTCCTTGACCCCAAAGTGATAGATGGGGAGCTTGACTGGGCTGGCTCTTGCACCTCCGACTGTGTGGTGCGTTTGAGGAGTACTCTTTCATAGCAGATTAAATAGATTGTGCCATTAAGCTCTGTTTCCCCCCAACTGAACAATAAATTGTGACCTTTGTCTTTCTAGTTCAGAAAGATAGATCTCTGTAGTGCCCCTGCGTTTTGAGTATAATGGTTGGCCATTATGAACTTGCTCTATTTATGGCAGAGGACTGTTGGTGGTAGTAATGACAAATACTAGGATAGGAGAATGGTGCTTGCAGAAGGAGCAGAACAGGACTGCAGCAGTCAAAAGCTCTGCTAGGAACTGGCTTGGATTTTTTGGAAGATTTGGGATCTGTACCTTGCAGTGACTGCAGAGGACTAAGAAATGGGAGGGAAGGGCAGTCACTATAACTTTCTTCCTAGTTTCATGCGTGGAAATGTGCCGTATCCCTCCTTGAAAGGCATGCTGGTTGGAGATGGAGGGACCTTCCAGTTCAGTGCTGTTGTAAAGGGAAGGTAGTAGATACTAAAACTGTGAAGATACCCACAGATTCCAGTGCATAAACCGGACTGCCACAGAGCAATGGGAATTCTCTGCTACTAGTTAGAACCCCAAATAAGAACTGTAATAAAAGTGCTGAAAAGGCTCCTGCAGCTTTGCCATTTGCTATGGAGGAGCAAGCAGCATTGCATGTTGGGTCAAGGCACCTGTGTTCTGTTGTGCATTATCACTGCAGCCCTGCAGAGAGGTTTCCACAAAGCAGATGTCTTTACACATGCTCTGTTAAAATCAGGGAGATTGTGTTCTTCTTGGTGGGAAGAAATTGGAAAAAGACTTAAGATAAAAATATAAAGCAGAGGGCTTCATATGAAGGAGATTTACAGCAGATGAGTAAAACTTAGGTTTTCAATGACTCATTTTTGTTTCTTGGTTTGAGTTTAATTATCACTCTGCATTGCCAAAGTCTACACTGCTAAGTAAATTCTGAAGCACTTTAACGTTTTAGACTACCTTACTGTTGGTGAGATTAATTTTAATGAAGGGTAAGTACCCAAATGCAAGTCTTTAGAAATAAAGCATCCCCTAACAGGGCAGATCTGTTACTCTATCGCAAAGAGCTTTTGGTTACAGATCCACTTTTAGTTCAGTGAGAGATGTTCTTGCTTAAATGGAAGCTCTAATTGTACATAGAGCTATACTAATTAATTCTCCTTCTCCTTGTTTCTACTTACATGTTGAATGTCAGACAGCTGAATTCTTTGGTATGTACCAAAGAAACCGATCTTTCTTTTTATACATTATTCAACTGTGTTGAGAAAAGGTATTAATTCTTGTATGGCAGATTATTAAAACATTGTTACATTAGTATTGAAATAGTGGGTCCTGTTCTAAATGGGAAAAACACTGTAGGATCCGACTTGCTCTGTGTAGTCTTAGAGTTGGTGTTTTAACTGCCTGAGCTTCTGTGTTGGCTATGAGAATATCTCACTCATGTTAATGAGGATCTGCTGCTAATGAAAGATTTCTGGCCACCAAAAGAACTGTTACAGAGAAGGAAGCTACTTGTGTATTTCCGCTGGTGGTGGCAGCAAGCTCTTTAGTTGGTGGAACACCTACAGTGATAACCTCTTGGACTAGTTTTCAAGTTTCTAGCACTAGTCATGTACTAAGGTAATCTTCACTGCCATCAATGCAGAGCAGATGCTGTCTTGGCATCTTTCATTTCCAGATGGCCTGAAGCAATTGCTAAGATGACTGTAAACTTCATTTCAGTGGTATAGTAGCTCTGAAATATTAATACTGCTGTTTAAACATCTTAGATGTTCTTATCCTGCCATCTCAAACTAATTGTGACATTACTATGTCAAAAAAAACCCCCAAACAAACAAAACCCCATTTGTCTCCTGCTTGGCTGCTGAATCCCCAGCTCTTCTGGGGCTGGCACATCTGACAGTGCAGTGAAGTGTTGCATAATAAACTTTATGCTCACATTAAAAACTAAACATGGAAGCAATGCAGGTGAAACTGAAGCTAATCCCCGAAGGCTGTTGTGCTGACTGTCACACTGCCCTGTGTGACAGCATGATGGTTTCCTCTCAGAGCCCTCCAGCAGCTGCCATGAGGTCCCTTGTGCTGACACAACATCCAGGGACTTGGTGGCACAGCAGACCTTGCGTCAAGCTTGGTGTGCAGAAGTGGTAGTTCACTGCTTGGTCATCAAATGAAGTTCTGGCAGAGAAGCAGATGTTATAACTTGCAACTTGAACCATGAAACCTACTTTTTGTTGTGTTACAACTTTAACTACTGTCCTTGCATTGGTAGGACTTCAGGCTTCCTATGCTTGTTTATGAGAAACTCTTCCATTTGTGAAGTTTTTGCCCCAATACTGAAGGCTGCTATTGCTGTGAGTGCATCGCTTCTGCACTGGAACTTTCCTGGGTAAGGTTTGAGGTCAGTGTGAGATGCTTGCTTACAGAATGTGATGAACGTGGTATGTAACTGTCTCCCTCTTCTGACTGGCTCACTTGAGCAGTTAGTATTTGTGCTCAGCAGCTAACATACGAGTCCCATGAAGCTTTCTCTGTGTGGTGTCTTTACTGCCAGTGGCAGTCTGCAGTAACAGCCTTAGTGGAAGGCTGTCCTGCCAGATGTTTCTAGTGTTGGATTCTCTGGGCCAGTTGTATTCATGTTCTCAGACCAGTGGCCTAGAAGCCCCCATAACCCTCCATAGGCACTGCCAGACTCTTCCCTGGCAGTCTTCTGGCTGTAGCCTGCTTGGGAGGACAAGCCTGCATGTTGGGTTTGTGCACTTTTGCCTCCCACTGGCTTGTGTCTGAGCCAGCTGCTTTGAGGGCCCACTGACAGGTGTTCTCATTTGGAGTGGCGTGTAGCTATGCAGTGGGGAAATGAGTGGTAGGTGTGAAATGAGAGCAAGCTTAGATGCTTCCCCTCAAGGCCTGTTCCTAGAGATGGGAAAATAACACTTGTTTCTATAGGAACAGAGGCTGTATCATTAAAGGTTGGCTCAGGGCTTTGTTGAGTGAAGTCTGGCAGCAAAGCCTAGACAAGCTGCCCACCTTGCTGCTGGCAGACTCTTCCATGCAGGTGGAGGAAGCCATACAGAAACTGGTGTGTGTAGGCAGATAACTTCCTCTGCCATGGACACCCAGACTCCTCTCCTGGGCTGGAGCTGGAGTTCCTGAGGAGACTACTGCCTCTGGATGAAGAATGTGAATGGATGTGAGCAGTGCAATAATATATGGGTGAGTGTCACAGAGTACCATGCTGCTCAGTACCTGAGTACACACTCAGACCATGTGTCATGGTTCTGTAAACTGGTTGTCTTGCCCCAAACACTGACTTGGAGTGGCTAAGGGGGAAGAAGCAAACTGTATGCATGCACCATTCTTTCTGTACAAGGCATAAACTGAATTTATTGAGACTGGCTGTAAAATGATAGCCCTTGTCGGTCTAGTAGTGGATCAAATTTAATTTTAGAAGAGCATTGGCCTAATATTTTTCCTATTCTGAGTCCTATGG